GAACATTGTGGTCAAACGACCTGTTGCCAGCGAGTGCATTGTCGTCAGATGACCTGTTGCCAGTGAGTACACATATACCAAGTGTCTAAACAACTGGTTCCAACTGATATCCTCAGTCGACGAACTACAAATACCCCGTACGCGAAGTTCCCCTAGTTTTTGTTCTGCGCTTATTTGTATCTTGGAAGTCTCACATAGCGCCACGGTTTCAGCTTTATACGACAAGTTGCTCAAATACCGGTTGATAGTAAAGGTATGCACAAAAGAGTATAGTACCTCAATCAAGCTGTCCAGTCTTACCGTAAGATAAGGGATATTCCTAACGCGAGATACACTTGGACGATGTTTCTGGAACACATAAGCCCAACAACCCTACCCGAACAACTAAGCGCTACTTCCGTTTTTACAAGGGGTCTGCCAAATGCGCATAGACTGTGTGATCCAGAAATCATTTCTGTATTTGAGTCTGTCCTTTTCAATGGTGATATCGCCCTTCCTGCGCAGAGGAAAGCGCTTTTAGAGTGTTTCCAAGAAGGATGGCTTCACACAGATAAAACCACGACGCCAAGTTTGCGTACTATTTCCCAACGGGCTTACATCGATGGTTTCTGGAGTGGAAACTATGGGGAACATCGCCATCCATTCCCAGGTCGTTTGAAGCGACCGTACTTCTCGACTTTGTAGTGGCAGTCCTCAAGAAGTTTTCTCCTCGGGCATTGGCTACTGAACGTGACGTAGAGCTTGGTCTCGTTCAACGTCCTTTCGAAGCTCAATACTAGGACGAATTTTATCGGCGCTGTCACTTGCATGCTTTAGTGACCATCCCCCAATACGGAACAAAACTTGGCCGTGTCGATTTCTTCATTCCCTCCCAAAAGTGGGGTATCGAACTGGTCGGTTTTCCGAGTCATCAGCAGAAACAACACTAGATCCGGTTGACTGCATTATTCTGGATTTCCGAACTGACTCTCCGCAAAAACCTCATGCGTGTAAGTGAACTTCAAGTTTGTCTCTCGTGCCATCTGTCTAATGCGAATCAGCCATTCCCAATCTGTATCATGTGGTCTTCAGTGATATTTTCCACCACGTCAGCATTCTTCGCAACGATCTTGAAGAAGTTCCCGGGAAGAATTTTATGTCAAGGGACTCTTCCGACGTTAATACTGAGCGGGTTTGATTGAATCGGTATTACATACATTTTGGTGCTATACATCACTACTATACAAGCCCTCCTGGTGACGGGCCCAACATACATAGTACTGGTATAAATAATACTTCACAATCCAAATGTCCGCTGTCCATGAAAGACCAAGGCTGTGCTTTCCTTCTCCATGCCATGTTCTCGTTCCTCGAGCTCCCGTCGTGCCAAGCCGCACTCTCTCAATCCAATAATCATCTTGGTAATTAGGATCGTTGTCGCACACCAAAGGAAACTATTGAAAAGAAGAACATCAATCAGCCCATATTAATGAGACGAATGGATGGAAAGGAACGGATGTCGAACATGACGTAGTAGAATACGACGGAAAGCTAGCGCAGCGAGTCAGGAAACTGGCTGATGAAGGAGATGGGTAGTATGTGTCCTCACCGGAATGAAGATAGTTCCCAAGAGTTTAGCCGCATTTAGGCCTTGAAGTAAAAGTGACTCAGTAACGAGCCATCACGTTCCCACCAATATCATGCTCACACGCAACAAGCTAGGATAACACCCTCATCAGTTAGTCCATAGATTTCAAAACGGAAGCAGGAATCGCAAAAAAAAAAAAAAAAAACACCCACAAGAATCTTCCCTATGCCATTCTCGCGCAAGATACGATAGAACCTCGAGCTATCCTGTGGGTAGCTTTTGGAAGCATGGAAGAGAATAGCTGCGATCCCCAGAACCTCGAATACCATCTACGACAAAGCGGGTCCATGAGTCCTAAGTGATATCTCGAGAAGTGGCTGTTATACGAGAGCACGCACCCCAGGAGCGAACGTAATCCAGAAAATCCCCCTTTTCAACAGAATACACCGCGTATCTGGCGTCGCGCCGGTCCCGCCGGGCGCTGGTACCTCTGACGCACTCAGGCCCACAGAGGTTACGAAAGCTGACAAGCGCCACCCGGGAAGCGCGCAAGGCAAGAGCAAATTGAAGTTACGGTTACGGGTTTGCGGGTTTGCGGGTTACGGGTAACAGGAACGAACAATACGTCGAGACACGAAAGACCTATTTTAAACGGACGAAACAGTGCGAGTGCGGGAAAGGTGCTCACGGGTTATCTCGATGCACACCGCTATCGCGCACGCGACGATCGCGAGCTCCGTGATGACGAATGCGCCGAGGGTCGCGACGACGAGCCGCCGATCACGTCGTGAGAGGAGCCACAGGCGCAGCATGACGAAAACTGCAAGTCGGAGACAGAATCAGTCAGTCAGGTCAGTTAGCGAGGAGTCAGGAGTTGATGTGTAAGTAAGTGTGGAGTGTGATTGACACACTGCGAGGAGGGGCGATACGCACAGTGCATGGGGCCAGTCGTGACGATGCAGACGCACACCTATCAGAATTCAATGGCGTGCGTTAGGCACGGTGAACCTCAGACTGAGGGGAATCGTGACGCGTACCGCTGTGATAAACCATTTCTGGCAGCTAGGGGTGTGCGAGGGGGGCATGGCAGGAGGGGAGGGGCTCAGGTTAGTTCATGGAGCTGTTCAGCTGCGAGCTAGTATGCGGTAGTGCTTACAACTAATCAAGGGGCAGTGAAGTGTGAAGTTAGCTAACGACAACGACAACGACAACCCGGGTAACTGTGGCGACTCGGAGAGCGCGGAGGGTGAATGCACTCACCGAAGACGACATATGCGAGACTCCTATCATGCTTATCTCTGCATCGCGCGGGTTGGGGTTGACATGAAGACTTGGAATCAAATCGCAAACGCCAACGAGAAAGGGGGATCTTACGGTGATTGTGCCATATTATGCTGGCGGGTATGGCATATCGAAGGATTATAAAGAAGATCTTCGGTGCCGACCACCTAGCGCTCCATATATATTTCACCTCGTCATCGAAGGTCAGGATGTGGTTGTACAGCAGCACCTGTGTATGTGTGGGAAGTTGAACTTGGTACAGTACACGGCGTTTGCGATTTTATTTGGAACGTACAACGACCCCTGCAGCTGGAGATCGATGGAGTGAGTCACGGTTGAGGTTTGCGGTTCATATCAGACTAGTCGGTAACAGCCGCGGCGGGCCACGACAGAAATCATACTCACCTGCGACGTATCGAGAGTTCGCCACCAGGAATTCCTCTTCGAACATCGGTCGGATACCGTGACTCAGGCTAGTGCACTTCAAAGAGAGAGTGAGAGAGGTGGAGGGGGAGGATACCGGAGAGCCGCCAGACTCCAGATGCCAGACGATAGATAGATAGGTACTAAGTACTCGTACTCGGGACTCAGGCGAGGCGATCGCCTTGCCATCATGTCTGTAATAATAACGTATATTTATACAACAAGATGAAACGTCAAAATGCGTGATTGAACAACAATATTAAGATGCTAGATGCTAGATGCTAGGACATGAACAGAATAGAGCCGCGTGTGATGGATTCCCAAGATGATCACGAACAGATTCAGATATCATGGGTGTGTATGTGCGTGTGCGTGTGTCACGGTGTTCAATTGCGAGTATGATGATTGTGCCGAGGAATACTGGGAAGGCATCCGTCACATGAAGGACTGAATGAATTGAATTCGAAATACACCGTAGTCACGAAGCGGCCCAAGCGTGCGCACATTGGGGTTAAATTGCCAGAGAGGCACCAAACGCAAATCCATGATTGGCAAGATGAAGCCTCGCATTCGGTCACGGCCCGGGGGGTACATACAGACGTGACGTGAAGCGCCCAACCCAACGGCAAGCAAGGGTGGGGTGTGAATCAGCGTGAAAATGGGGTTAAACGCGGAATACATAGGTAGCAAGTTGGAGACCAACGAAGCTGGAGCGAGAGATCCAAGTTGTTGATGTTGGTAGAGATGCATCATGCATCTACGTGACTTGTGCAGTGTGTGTCAGCCTGAGATTCTGCGATAACACGGAGGAAACGCGGCCGCGGAGACTCGGAAGTTCAAGTTGCAATCAAGTTAGAGCTTCCAACCAAGCTTGGGAACCTTGAGGCTCCATGATGGGGATGATGGGCTGGGACTGATTATTTCCATCGCACGCACACGGGTGCTTTAGCCCGGCCTTTTCGATGAGCTATGCTACTACGCTGATTCGTGAAGAGATTACCGTGACACTCGTTTAAATCCAATGCGAGGCTTATGATTCCTCGGGTGCGAGCATGCATGGCCATGGCCATGGCCATCGCTGTGCTGATACAGGTAACAGGTCCAGGGCTCTTCGTTAAATCATATGCATGAGGTTGAAGGGCCATCGTGATAATCTTGAAAGGGCGCCACTTTAGCTTTAGTACTGGGGGCTGGGGGCTGTTCTATCTCTGTAGTTGTAGTAGTAAAGTTTTCCGATAATCAGTCATGTACTTATATAGAGCACCGTGCCCAGCCGAACGAATCGTTACCCACCTGTAAGTTGTAACCCAGCAAACTGTTCGAAAAGTTTCCTTCTGTACATGTCCGAGGCGATCTGTGGCTTGGATAGATTCAGAATCATACCATGTATCATGTATCATGTATCGTGTATCATGTACAGCCGTACGTGCGAGTTGAGGATCTATCGCAGATAGGCTTAAGATAGGTCGGTGAGCGCTAGGAATTCGAAGTTTTGATTCGGCCCTGGCCGCGCGGCGCGAGAGAACTCTGAACTTTGGGACTTTGGGCAAGTTGTAGTGCGGCGCCGTCGATGATCGTTGAAGAGAATATAGCGGCCGGGCCGTGGCCGTCGTATTGTAATTTTGTTTGGACTTTGACCGCCGTCTGTAATCGTCCTGGAATACGCCGATAGCAATTTAGTCTAATGAAGGTTCGGGATATGATTAGTGCAACTCACGTTGTTTCAAGCGTCCTGTTCGATTAGTTGGTTAAATCATCTCGTTGTGGTTCTCAGCTCCGAGAAGCCGGAAGTTCGAATCCTCCACAGGACATGTTTTGTTTTTTTTTTCGTGGAGGTTCGAGAAGCTTGGTTTTGCTCAAGGTTTCATGTAGACATAGACAGACTTGATAGCTCATGTGCCTTGCAGTGATAGGATTGGTTCCTTGATTTCTTTTTTCCAACTTGTAAAGTCTACGTAGCTACCTCCTGTTATCGGCATGACGACTGTCTCCTGGCTTGTCTTGCATTATGTACGACGATTAGAGTACTTTGTGACGATTTGCAACAATGTATGGCTTCTGTTGTTCCAGGCTAGAAAAGCTTTTGAATGTGCCTGATCTGAGAGATTAGTTGGAAGCGGGTAGCAGCTGTTGCGCGGCGTTTTCCGAAATAACTTGGGCTGGAACAACAACCACAGCTGGACTCACGGTCGTCCTAATGCCCAGCTTATTTTCCCGTTCTCGTACCAACTCGACCCCCAAAAAGCATTCCTTACCACCCCCGCAGGAGTCGTCGCTGCTAGACGAGTTTGGGCGGATCTCGAGCAGGCTGTCGAACCGCTCCCCTACGCCGACGTCGACGACGAAAAAGGACAAGAAAAAGGCCAAGGAACGCGCGCAGAATCTCGCAGCGTCAAGAGACCTGAACCAGAGTCCAGATGTGCCGCCGCCGATCCCCGATGGAAGCTTCCTGCCCCTTAACCTGGACCCGCCCCCGACGTCGTCTCTGGACCAGTCGAAGGAGCACGATTACGGGTACCTGTCGTACCAGAGACACGTCGTGCTGGGGCTGGAGCAGGTGGCGCGGCTGGTGACTGTCATCAGCGACGAGCTGACGACACGAGGCGGCATCACGACGCCGTTTGTTTTTTCGACGACGGCGCTGGACATTTCGTCGTCTGCGATCAAGCGGCTCATCCAGGCGTTCCTCGGCACGTGTGCGAACCTGTCGAGCCAGGCGGCGGCGGATGCAGAGACGCGGTGGAGGGAAGAGGCGCGTTTCGCTGGCGCGTATGAGCTGGGGATGTGCCTGCGGTGGGGCATTGGGCGGGCTATCAGGTCAGTGGGGGGCCATGATGTGCGTGGGTTGTTATCGTGGGATCGATATGTGGAGTTTCGTGACTCTGAACATGGTACGTGGTGTGACTTGTATTGTGTGATGAGACTGACTGTCTTCAGTGCATGGATACCCTCCAGCGCACTTTTCTACTCTGCTGCAAGACTTGGATCCCACGCTGCAGACTGTGCTTGTTACGCTGCTCACTCTGTTATCCCGTCTGACCGCCAACAGCACCACGTCTGGGCACACTCCGCCGACCCTCTCTCCCTTGTTTGGCCCTCTCCTCTTTGGCCTGGGTCCTGCTGCTCTCGTCTTCCACCACACATACACACACTACCTCCGCGCAGTAAACGCAATGGAGCACCTCCAACTCGTCTTCATCCGCTGGCAGGACTGCCCCAGCACAACAGGCAGCGCAACCGCACTCGGCGTCCCCGTCCGCCTCAAGGAGTGGATCAAGGGCTACCCCTCCATGCTCCCCTTCCTCCAGGACCCCTCCTCCAGCCAGAAACCCCAGGCCCGCCGCGGCGTCCGCACTGTCCGCGTCATGAGCGTCCGCAGGAACGTCCGCATGTACTCCCCCGACCTCGTCAAGACCGCCGCCACCTGGGCTCACCGCAACGAGTTTGCTGGCCCCACAAAGAACGGCCTCTTGGTTTCAAAGGAGTGGGGCCGCATCGCACCCGCCACCCTCAAGCTCTCCCCGCGCTATTCCGATACGTACAAGAAACGTATGAATATGCCCCCCAATTTCCACCCAGAGACCGGCGCCCTCTCTGCCCCCGCCATGAACAACGCGTCCTCCACGTCGTCCTATGGCTCGTCCCTCACCTCCACCTCCAGCACGACCACCACCGCCACCAGCGATACTGATTACTTTGGTCTCGGCCTCAATAATGCGCGTCAGAACGAAGACCGCTTTCGGAGCCTCACCGACCTCCGCTGGGGCGAGTTCGAGTCCATGGGCTTCAGCGAGCTCGAGGACGAGAAGAAGCTACAGTTTGATTTGACAGAAAGTGCTAGAACGGTAAGTTTATCTATCCGCCCTATTTATCCTGGTCATATCCCTATCCGTGTCCATTCCAACTCAATTTATTTATTTTTATCTATCTATGTATAGGAACGCGCCGCGAAGCGCGAGAGTCTTTCATGGAACGACTTCTCGGCGGCTGGGTTCACGCGCACCGACGGCTCCCTCAGCGCGACGCTGCAGTTCAGCCGCCCCGTCGCAAAGACCATCTCCGCGTGGCCCGCGCACAGCGCCGAGATGTCCAAGAAGCTCAAAAAGACGGAAAAGGCGCTGCCGCCGTTCGGCTGGGACACGGAGCCCGTCGTCGTCAACGAGGAGGTGATAGAAGAGGCGTTCGTGGACGTCTTCTGCGACCTCATATACGGCGGGGGGTGGATGGATCTGGAGAGATACGAGGAGCTTGA